ATTAACTTAACCTCATTTCGCGGTTGGTATTTGCGTGTGTGCTTTTTTATCCATGACTCACGCACGTACTCACGCTAACACAATCACAGGCTCTCTCTCTCTCTCTCTCTCTCTCTCTCTCTCTCTCTCTCTCTCTCTCTCTCTCTCTCTCTCTCCTTCTCTCTTCTCTCTCTCTCTCTCTCTCTCTCTCTCTCTCTCTCTCTGTCTGTATATGTGTAATGGATATCCTCATCGTGTCATTTGTTCACTGAACTTAACATGTGAATTCGATGACCAGTTAAATATCAACATTTCGATTTCGCCGATTGAATTCTAACGGCTACCATGAACGGAAACCGAGGATCTGCGCGGGTTAGGTTACTTCAAGGGTCATTGTAATTGTTTACCTTCTCTAGCAGAGCCTCTGATTTGAAAAAAATTTTGTCGAGAGAGAAGGGGAGAGGGAGAGATAGATAGAGACAGATAGACAGAGAGAGAGAGAGAGAGAGAGAGAGAGAGAGAGAGAGAGAGAGAGAGAGAGAGAGAGAGAGAGAGAGAGAGAGAGAGAGAGAGAGAGAGAGAGAGAGAGAGAGAGACAGACAGACAGACAGACAGACAGACAGACAGACAGACACAGACAGAGACAGAGACAGAGAGAAGAGAGAGAGAAGGAGGGACAGAGAGAGAGACAGACAGAAGACGAAGAGAAACGGAGGGACAGAGGGGCAGAGAGAGAGAGGGAGACAAAGTAGAGTAGAGAGAGATGGAGGGAGGGAGGGAGGGAGGACATATATATATATATATATATATATATATATATATATATATATATATATATATATATATATATATAGATAGATAGATAGATAGATAGATAGATGAATAGGTAGATAGATAGACAGACACACAGAAGAGAGGGAGAGGGAGGGAGAGGGAGAGAGAGAGAGAGAGAGAGAGAGAGAGAGAGAGAGAGAGAGAGAGAGAGAGAGAGAGAGAGAGAGAGAGAGAGAGAGAGAGAGAGAGAGAGAGAGAGAGAAGAGAGAGAGAAGAGAGAGAGAGAGAGAGAGAGACAGAGAGACAGAGAGAAGGGAGGGACAGAGAGAGAGAGAGACAGACAGACGAAGAGAAAGGGAGGGACAGAGGGGCAGAGAGAGAGAGGGAGACAGAGTAGAGAGAGAGTGGATGGAAGGGAGGGAGGAGGAACATATATATATATATATATATATATATATATATATATATATTATATATATATATAGATAGATAGATAGATAGATAGATAGATAGATAGATTGATAGATGGATAGATGGATAGATGGATAGATAGATAGATAGATAGATAGATAGATAGATAGATAGATAGATAAATAGATAGATAGATAGATGAATAGGTAGATAGATAGACAGACATACAGACAGAAAGGAGAGGGAAAGGGAGAGGAGACGAGGGAGAGAGAGAGAGAGAGAGAGAGAGAGAGAGAGAGAGAGAGAGAGAGAGAGAGAGAGAGAGAGAGAGAGAGAGAGAGAGAGAGAGAGAGAGAGAGAGAGAGAAGCATAGACAGACAAAGACAGAAAGGAGGAAGAGAGAGCAGAAGAATAAATAATGAGCCTATGTGGACAATAAAAAAATGACAGTCAGATAAGGTTGAACTCCGGGTTATGCAACAAATATTGCTTTACGCCCGCAGAACGTGTGAAAGCATCCTGTCCAAGGGATAGTAAGTCTGACACTGGAAAGGATTAGTTCTCACGACAACGTGTCTGATGGCCGTGTGTCCGTATATATGTCACGTGCATCAGGCGCTCTCTCTCTCTCTCTCTCTCTGGGTGTGTGAGTGTATGTGTGTGTGTGTGCCTGTCTGTCCGTCTTTCTGTCTCTCTGTTTCTGTCTGTCTGCCTCTGCCTCTCTGTTTTTGTCTGTCTGCCCTGCCTCTCTCTATCTATCTATCTATTTATCTATCTATCATTCTATTTATTTATCAATCTATCTATCTCTATGCATCTCTCTAGCTGTCTATCCATCTACTTATTTAATATCTCCCTCCCCCTCTCCTATATCTCTTTATTTCTCTCTCTTTCTCGGTATATTAGTTTTTTTTTCCAAAAGAAATTTGAAATGAGCATTTTCATTCAGCTTATATTTCAGTAAACCTTTCGATAGAATTATTAATTAACGGAGTTCGACTTTATTTACCAATCCTTAATGAATCTTTTGGTAATCTTAGATGTACAATACAGTTACCAATGTTTCTCCTTAAAGAATCATGACGTTTGATGCTTTCTGAAAATATCTATGATATTCAAGACCATAATGTGTTAATGTCCTCTTGCTACTAAAGAATGAAACTTCCGATATAATTTTTTTGATTTTACTGTTAACGCTTTAAATATGAATTTCTAACATTTTCAATTCTGTTGTTACATTCCCCTGTCTGTTGAAATAATGCCACATAATGTAATTAATTTCGAGGCGGATTCTGACGCAGTTCAAGCCTTTTTTTCTATTTCCGGCAACATTTGATACCCAGCTGACCCGCCTATAAAACTCACGAAGAAGCCTGGGTAAAGTGTCACAAGTAGGATCCAAGGGCATTAAGTCCTATAAAGAACGGGCAGATGAAGAACTAGAAGAGTTTAAAATTATCCGATGCTCTTTTGTTTCATGCGCGGATCCTATTGCCGACAGCAGGATCTTCTCCTTATTGTTTATCTCTTGCTGTTAGTTTACAAATAGAGAGGATGCTGAACTGGTGTTCCGGAAATTAGTGATTTTACGTAGATAATGTGCAAGATTCGATGATGAATTGGACGCCGGCTAGAGACAAGGAGAAGTATGGGGTCGGTGAGTATGCGCAACAATAGAGAATAAGCAAAAGAAGAGAGGAAGTGCGAGAAAAGGGCGTCGGTCGCAACCCTTGATACGGCCCTTCGCGACTTGCATTTGAACTTGTCTTTCGACTCGATTTGGAAATTGTCTACAATGCCAGTGTCATGGTCCCCTAGAGGCCTTTATTTGGATGTTATTTATCGGGGGGAGTAGGTTTTGATGTCTGCTTTTGAATGAAGTTGGTCGTCTTCGTGGGGTTTCGTGAAACCTGGGAGGAAATGGGTTTTACATGTATATTTTTTACTTAGTGGTATCTTTATTTCGTCTGCACACTTGTTGATTTGTGTAACTCTTTACTCGTTACGAAGATACTGATTAAGAAAAACTGAAAATGATAAATTAATTTCTGTAAAGAACAGATAAGTGACAAATGATCTGCAGCAAGTGAAGCTAACCACATTCACTTCTCAAATTCCATGAGTCTGTCTTTTTGCAGCTAAGTCCAGCATATAATGCCCCCTCCCTCCTCCCATTCTACTGGCTGACAAATATCATTTATGCATTTTCTGTTTAGACATAACTCACTGAACTCCCAAGCGATTTATCTTCAAGTAAGGGAACAGTCCAATCTTTTTCTTTCTAAATGTACGAGGGGAATTATATTTCTTTGTTGGATTGCAAAGAATGTAGGCCATGGCTTCGGTTTATGTCATCATATTATAAACAATTACTGAATTGGTTTGTATAATGTAACAAGCAATTACAATTCTGTCTCTAATTTTCTTTTATTATCGAGTGTCAAATGCTGACAACTTGCAGATGATTCTCAATTACATGTTCTTCACTTAGTCAGTGGACAAATAATTTTTTTGTAAGATATTTGAAGATACTTCATTTTATATCTTGCACAGGAATGGGAAATACTTCTTTGTTAGTTTTTTAAGTATAGCTTTGCTGGGTTTCTATATAGTGACACATTTCAGTATTGTATCGCCTGTTTGTCAAGCGAGGTCAGTTTTTCAAGTTCCTCTTTTGAGTGCCTGAACTTTTTGCTATAGATATAGATAATGAATGTGATCTTTTAGGTTATTTTCAAATAATTTTTGGCCAATATCCCCAACAGGGAAACTTGCTGAGATCTGTAAAGGAAGGCCTGTAGTTTTAAGTCACGGGTATATTAGTGCAAAAATTATTTGCGTTTTCTTGATATGTATCCTGGTATTACTTGAGATAGTGAATGGTAAAACACTTGATACTATGGTAGAAAAACCCACAATGCGCAAACTAGATTTATTAAGGAAAGTGAGACAACAGTTTCAGAATCGTCCTCAATTCCGAAACTTTCCTCAATAAATCTAGTTTGTGCATTGTGGGTTTTCTACCATGGGAGATAGTCCATGTACAAGTTTATGTAGAATTGCAAATTACTGTAGATTGCATATAGGCAAGTTGCCCATTGATTAAGAGAATTCTTTACAGTTTGCATGGGGTGCATGTATGCCTACCCAGTGTGGAAAGTATGTCACTTTTTAATGAAATCTTGGGTGCGTTTGAAAAGAAATTGAAGTGTGCAGTGTGCACTTCAAAAGTGGACATCCTGAAACTTTTCAGATAAAAATATGCCTGAAAGCCCTTTAAACTATTAGTAAATTCCTGGTTCTATATAGATGTTACATAAATATTTTGATCATTGACTGCCATAAATCACTCATGTGGGCAACCAGGAACTCGAACAAAAATCTTGGGTGTGCATCTGCTGTACTTTCCATATTGGATGCCTACCACAGCTAAAGCACAGTAGGTGAATATGCCATATATAGACTTTTGCGGTTATAGTTGTAAGTAAGTAAGAATAATTTGCTTATTGGTTTATGTGTTTGTGTTAGAAATATTTAGTTAGAATTATGAATATGTGTACAATTATGCCTCCAAGAGAAAAGCAAAACAACTATTTTGTTTTACCTATTATCCTAAGAGGTAGATGGTTAAGGTAAGAATTAGGATATCATGATGTTTACATGAAAATGTATATTGTTAGATGTACAATATATATGTAATGTTTTGTTACAGTCATTTTATGTCTTTAGCCGTGGCTTTTGCTTTTGATCTTGTACTTCCCTTTGCCATTAACTGTTTTTGCCATAAGCCTTTTACATTAGCTTGTCAACCAAGGACCTGAGTGTGGTTAACTTTA